TGAAATGGATAAATACATACATAAAAAACACATACAATTACAGAAATCTATATATACAGAAAAAAAAACCTGTCTTGTCTCTTTCTACCTGGTATTAAAAGCCAAAGAGAAAACGTCTGTCTTAAAGTGCTCGAGTGATTGTGCGGTGCTAATGGTCAAACTTCACGTACAATTAGTGTTAGTAAGTGTTTGTTTCAAACTTATATTTCTCATACAGCAGAACAAAACAAACAAGACTTGATTTGAAAAATACAGTTTGCAGTATTCATCCAATTATTTTAATCTGTATGGAAAGACGGTAATAGCAAACTGAATAAATATATCCGAGAGCAATGTTAATCCTGTTCCTGGAGTGAACGTTCAGCTTCACTTCATTTCGAGACAGTGTAAAGTGTAAAACAATGAGCGTGACATTTCTTGCTTATTATCTACTTAAGCGTTTCGTGCTTTTGTAGGAATCACAATCCACAATAATCAAGTTTTTCTGTTTTCTCTTTGTTGACCAAATGTGTTTGATTGTAATTGTCTGATTCTGTGATGCACTACAAAATGACTGCTGATGTGATTTTGGGCACAAAAAAATAAATAGCTTTGATTTAATAAAAAAAAATATATGAATGCCGTTTATGGGTTCTATCCTCGAATGAGGTACTTATGATCTACTGATGGACGTGGGTGTCTATGTCTGTGTGTGTATGTCTCTCTGTGTGTGTGCATGTGTTTGTTTGATTGTATTTTGCTATACAGTCACAGTAATGTAATCTCTCACTTGCAATGGGGGAGGCACTAATAACTATGAACATAAATAATAAGTAAAAAGAAAAGTCAAAAATGTTAGATAAACATGCTTTCATTTATTTATTTATTTTAAATCTGCATGGGTAATATTGGTGTGGTGTCTATACAACCCGATTGCCATTCTTCTTTCAATCAATGGCCGAATACCAGCCGATAATAAAGCTTGCGCTGTGGTTGGTCCGATGTGAAGCGGCCAGATGGGTGCGAGGGAAAGGTCACGCAGACTTTATTAAGATGTCAGCCAGGTTTTATCAGGATGGAGTGCGTAAGAGGGTGGGCCAAAATGGGGAAAAAATGACAAAATGGGTCTTATGGTTCTTTGTGAATGTGATAGTGACTGTCCAAAATGACCTTCAATTTACTCTAAAAGGGAGAGTGTCGCTGAAGTGGCTGCAAATACGTTTTTGAGTTTCCCTATTTGAAAACCTCAAATGGAATGCATAGAGGACTTCAGTCTGTCTAATTATGATGGCCAGGTGCTGGATATGGTATATTTTTAAAAGACAATTGCTATATGTGAAATTAATTTAATTGAATGCAACAAGGCCAGAGTTTTTTGAGCAGTTAACTAAAAGAATATCATCCATGAAATAACAAATTCCCTGCCAAGTTCAAGGCAACGGCAAAATCCTACTCCCTTCAGACACAATTAGGTATGTTTACTTACACACAGTTGCAGTATACTGTACATTATTTCTTTTGTCCTTATCTTTTTGCAATATATGACTTGACTGAATTCTCTTCCTTGCCTGAAATAAATTATATATATAAAAAAAAAAAGGCCGTAGGATGCATGTCTGATATGAAATCCAATTTAGGAAGTTACGTTTTCATTCCAACTATTCCTACTTGGGTCCCAATCCTTCTAAATGCACTTGTGTGAAAGCTGCAGAACAGACTCAGTGTTTGATGATCGTTGTGTTTATACATGTTATTATACTTAAAGTGAAGTGAAGTGACTTTTCAAAATGTCAAGGGAAAATTATGATATGTTTCAGAGCCGAGCCACGTCCCCCTTTGTTTATTCTCCTTAGTAAATCTTACCGACTGTAATTAAACCCAGGGGAAGGACTTTATTGTATATGTATATTGTTTTCTATACATACACACAATACATACAAAAACACACTTTTTTAACAGAATACATTGGAATGAAGGGGCGACAGTAGCTCAGTTGGTAGAGCATTGGCCTTTGGGCCTGAAGGTCGTGGGTTCAAGCCCACCATAACACCTACTTCACGACTCCCACTGATGACTGCTGTTGTTGTGTCCTTGGGCAAGACACTTAACCCCACTTTGCCTGACGCTCCCACTGAAAGATCTCAGCTCCTGTGGACTCACCACCTGCAGGAGGATCAGTGAGGGGCTGGTGCTAAGTGTACTGGGTGCAGCTCTGACTGCCACCCCCCCCGACCCAGAAATGGATTAAGGGGAAGAAAATGGATGGATGGATGGATGGACATTGGAATGAATACCACCACAATGCATCATTATTTGTCATTCAAAATTAACAGGGAAGGAAAAACAGCTAGCTCACTCCGAGTTGCTAAGTCTTCGTGTCTAATCTCTGCCTAACAGCATGTGTAATTGAATAGAATTGGTTTAGTATTGGAACAAATGATGATGTAGGAGCGGAGCAGCTGCTTTCACAGTAACACACCACTGTGCGACAATGATGCATGATGAGGCATGTGTGCTCCCACCTTTCCTTCAATATGTTGTGCGAGCTGTCAGGCGCAATATCGCTTTTTTGTTTTTTTTAGGTCAAATGGTTGAAGTACATTTACCCAAATTGACAATGTTAAGAGGGGGAAAAATACACATTAATCTGGACCTATCTCACTGGGTTTTTGAGTCGTTCCTTGCCAATGCAGGAGGGTCTAAGGACATTTAAGGACATTTATTAACATGGGTCAATAGCGCCAATGTGTTTGTTATTATTGCAATCCCTGAGTTCAAACTGCTTGATTTTCAGAATCAGAAACAGAATCATTTTCATTGTCATGTAAGTAACAGGAAGTCACAAATAAATTGCTTTGGCTCTCGATGTAAACAAGTCAAGAGTAGAGATGAAATAAGGCACATTTGTGATTTTTTGTTGAGGAATTGACAAACCATTATGTATGACTTTAAAAGGTAGAGATACACTTCATTTTTATCCCCGTAGGGCAATTCATCCTCTCCCATCTTGATGCCACTAGGTCATCTATCAGGAGCAGTGATCGCCGTGGTACAGAGCCTCAGAACATTTTTCAGAATCCACTTTGATCATTTGTTATTTTGTTTATTTTTTTAATGGTGCAACACACAATCAGGCAAACAATGAATTTAGTTGTTTCTTGTTGCAGTATAATACATTTATTAGTTCAATATTGCCCCAGGAATTCACCCGTATGAGATCCATAAATGTATTCAACATCAAATACAAGTTGAAAATCTGATCGTTCGGGTCTGGATGGATTTATGGCAGAAAGAATTACAAAGTGATCTCAAATTTGACTCTGTCAGGCTTCAGCACAGTCCGTATCATATTTTTGCAATGACATTGTTATGTTAATACTTCTTCCAGAGCTGTATTGTTTGAATGGTATTAAGTGACTGATATTTGAAGCTTGCATTCATTGCTGCCTTACTCACTGCTTTCAAGGGAATATCACATTTGTCTTCCATTTTGTTAGACCACAAATAATTCTGTCAATCTGCCACTGTTGTTACATCTTATACACCATTTGTTGTTTGCGGAGTGTATTTGTGTCATGAGAGGGGGAGTGAAAGAATAGAAATATGTTATTTAATCTATCAGGACATGCTTTACACTGTATTAAATGTCACTCACCCAAAAGGTTTATATACAGACTGTATATCAGGAGTGCACTGACCATAATGTTACGCCTCCATAATATAGCCTTAAATATAATAATAATGATAATTTGGTCTTTTATAGCAATTATACAACACTCAAAGACACTTCACATGTCAATATCCATTCTCTCCAAACTCAGCGGTGAAACTACAACTGTGGACACATTTTTTACAAAAAAGTTATTTCTGTCCTCATATATTCATGTTGTAAATTTAACTGATCACAACATGATTTAATGACGCGGTGTTTAACAGTTTAGCTGTTAGCTTCCATGACTCATTCATAGCTACTAAAACTTGATGGAGTCAAAGTAATAAGTTCATGGCCTCTGCTCTGACAACAGCACAACTCTATCCCAATAAAAATACACGTATAGCTGCATGGCTGTATAAGTTCAAAGTTCTAGAGAAAAGTAGCGGCTTACAGTCAACCGGGACTTATTATATTTTAGCCCCATAAATGATGAATGTGACCCAAACTGTTTCTGAGTGAGTTATTAAGAGCCAGAGAGAGAAGGACCAAACTTTGTCCATGAGCACTTCCTTGTTGGGCTTCATTGTGCTAGGAGGTTATCAATGTTCACCTATCTACACTCTGTATGGGTTTGTTAGACCTATACCAAATGTCTCACACACACACACACACACACACACACACACAAATAGACCAAAGCAACTTGTTATGATTTTATAACATTACTTTTTACTTACCTTGAGTTTCAGGAAATATATTGAATCTTATACACCAAATCATTCAAGGCAAAGCAATTACATCTCAAGCAATTCATGGACCACTCTGGCACCCAGTTTCCTGGATGAGACTGCTGTACTTTATAACCATAAGAACCAGTCATAAGAACACGGTGCTATAATAAATCAAATGTGCAGGTTGTAATTACTGCATCTGGCCTCAGTGGGAACCAGGCCTGAACACTCATGGCCTGCTCTGGTCAGGTACAGTTTATGAAATAATATGTACTAAATGTGTTATTTAAGTATTCTGTAACATAGACTACACACTTTGATATGTATTTGTCACAAGTCCAGAGTTGTTGTTCGCAGTGTAAGTGGAAATACTTGACCAGAAAAAACGATATGGAAATTTGTGAAGGGAGATTTGGATGTGACCAATTCGCACTATACACAGTACTTATACTTGCTTCTTTCTTTGCCAAATTGTATACCTTTTTATTATGTTAAAGATAGAGATTTTTTCCTTGTGTCTTTGATCCATAAATAGAGGATTTATTAATAAAAGTCTTGTTTAAAATGCATTATATTGCACAAGCTGATTGAAATTATAAAAGGCAAATTGTGGTCCCACTTCAGTATATACCCACATGTCTTCTGTATTCCTCAGGACTTGGCTCCGTGCGTTCCGTTCCGTTCTGTCCCTGTCCTTGTCGATCTGGGCCGCAAGTTCCACAGCTCATGACGCTGTAGCATTGGCCACAGCAGCGCCACCTCCTCAGCTCGGTCCCCACGTCAAAGGACACTGCCTCAGCTCGGCCCCCACACTAAAGGACACTGCCAGCGCTGGTCTCCAACTCATGGCGGTTCAGTCGTCTCTGGCCTGTCCTCTCCCTCTCTCTGCCCTTGTGCCGTCCAACGCCCTCGAGCATGGGCCCAGCATCAAGTACGCACAGGTGTCCTGATTGCCACGCTGTGTTCAGGGTCCTGAGGGACGGATTTATTTTGCGTTTAGTGTGAATGAGGCGGATGAAAAGGTGGAAAATTAGAGTGAATGTTGGGGCGAGAATTTTTACATACTGCTCCTTTAAGTTATTGTATTCGGCACAAACTGTAGTACTGCACCCTCTCCCACTCTCCCGGACTCAGGTTGCCAGATATGCAAACGAATCCAGCTGGGACCATAAAAACTGAATAGACAAGAGTTTTCTCAACAACAAATCTATAACCAAAACCTTTTTTACAAAGGCCCCGTATGAAATCTTGGTTTCATTCCTTGTTTTATCCGTAATGATTTGAGAATCATAATGAGACCTTTTGTTGTAGGGACACCGTTGTACTAATTGGAATCAGTTTAGGGTAGGCAGGTGTGCAGGGGTAACCGTGGTAACCAGTGGGAGGCAATGAAACACAAATGCAAAATAACAAGGAAACACAGCAACCCAAAACATGCAAATAAAAAACACAAAATGCCATCCCCCTTCTACCGGATTACAGAATAGACATCAGGTGGCAACAAATAAAAGTTACAAAAGTTTACATGCAACAAACAATTCCCAACACACTAAACATGCAATAAATAGTGTAAAAGCAAGTTAAAAGCATAAGAAAAAAAAACATCATAACGTGTGCCCCTAAAAATATACAGTACGTTAACAGCTGGTAACTGGAAGCATTACTTAACACAACTTCACTTTTGGTGCCATTAAAACTGAGCCATAGTAAGCAGAAGACTTTTCCACTTAATGTCTGAAGGTCAAGCCAACGTGTCCATGCCGCCACATGGTAAATTCTGAGGGGAGCTATTTTGCCTTCATACTGTATAAAACCATGAGATAATATAACATGTCTTCTGAATCTTTTGTCATTTCATTCACAGTATTAGTGTTTGAAACAGTTTCTGATTGTTTTATTGCTTTTAATCCTGATGTATCACCCACTTATTTGTGGGTCACAACAATGCCCTTGGAGCCTCCCCATCATCTGTTAATTCCTGGCACTTACCAGGGTCAGATAATAATGTTTTATAGTCGGTGTTAACTGGAAGGTGACATGTGTAAAATTCAGATTAAAATACATGTTATCCCCAGCCAGTTTCCTCCTGCAAATTTTAGGTCATGCAGAACATAGCTAAACTATTTCTACTGGACAAATGTCCCCGTATTTAAAGAGATGATTCTTTGGAATAATGTGGATTAGACATACTTTCTACAAGGTCAGGAAAGTTTCAGTCAGTGAAAAGAAATAAATTCTGTTACATACCAGCCAGTTGACTACTTTTACTTCCATTACTATACTGCTGGTGCTGCATTAGACCTCTGTTTTGCAATTTCCAAACGCTCATATTACTATATAATTTTCTTCTTCCCTTGAACTCTTAGTGCTTTTATGTAACTGATGACCTTCACTAAATATTGCATTGATCTTGCGCATAGTCTGCAAAGAATAGTAACGAGAGTAAATAAGGGCAGTCTTGAAAAGTGTATTGTTGGAGAGCCCTGGTCCTGCCCTTTGAGCTCCACAGCCATAGGAGAAACTGTAGCTCATACTATAGTCTCTTTTTTCTCCTTACAGTTTGTGTATTTTTTACTTCTGCTACCGACTTTTGACAGCCACGGCTATGAGTTCTACTTCAAACGCGAGTGTCCAGGAGATCCTCAATGCTGAATATTCCTTTTGTGATTTCTGAAGAGCAGAGCTGGAGCGAGGTGAACCTGCCTGGTATAGTAGCGACTGACAGGGAAGAGAGGCCCCGCTGTACGCTCTGTGTGGGGGCCATCTATCTTGATTGTCTTCATGGAGGCTGGAAACATAGGGCCATTTGCATTCATCCCATGTATTGGAAGAATGATTATGTGGACATGAGAAAAGTGCTTATCTTACAGTCCCCATGATGAGAAAGTGTGACAGGAGCAAACACTGATATAGCTTTTACATAAATGTGAGCAAACTAAAGTGACAAATGAGTTGAGGTTGGAGACAGGTGACGCTACAGAGTTGTGCTGCTTCTAGACACCAATTTAGCACTTGGTTTTCAAATAAAAACCCAAATTGGCTTTTTCAGTGCATACATTTAAAGACAAATATGTGGTATGCAGTACAGATCACTTAAGCCGCTATATACATTCAATTTTTGTTGTCAAAATGTAACTTGCTAACCCTAACCCATTTTGCACTACTTCTAATTCCTTCTTAAACAACCAAAACAACAACATTCACATTTTCCCTTGTTATAGATTCTTCCAAAACATGGAGGTGTGGGAGGAGATCCTGGACAGTTTCCACAAAATCAACAGCTCACAACAATATTTCTTTTACACGTTTTAAATATTTGTATCATTATTTTTATAAAGCAATGGTGTCAAAAACTGGTTCCAGAAAAGGCACACCAGATTTCTCTCATTTCAAATCTCCTGCTAATCCCTGCAGCTACATAGACACTTTGATGACTAGATTTTAATTGTATGTATGATGTCTATGATGGCATATTTTATATTATATTTGTGAGCTGAACAGTTGTATTTTGGAGAAAATACTTGATCCAGTCTGTTTTAGATGCATTCTAAAGGTTGAGGGATATATAGATAGGTAGAGAGATTTTTAAAAAATCAAAGGGTCACATAGAGAATAGCCTCCTCCGCGTCCTAATCGAAATAATAAGCAACAGTCCTTCAGGTCACAGCGGCAGAGATGGAGTAGCCTCTGGGTGGAGCAGCACGGGTCACAGCATCAGAGGTTCATAATCATTGATGACTAATTTCATAATAAAACATTGACGTTACAAGGCTATAAACATTCAATATCTGCACCACACTCGGGCACACTATAGGACTGAATACTACCTGGGGATGGATGACCTCAGACCTGTAACAACAAGATTATTCTTATCAATGCGCAAGGAAACAATATTTGTTCTTTGACAATATTTTTGAGTTTATGTGACCCTTGTTGTATTCATTAGAGAGAAAAAGAAATCTTGAATGACGATAGAGCTCCATCAATACAAATATATTTCACACAGAATGAAAAGGCTCCTCCTCTGGAGAAGCCTCTGGAGGAGCCTTCTGCGCTGGGAGCGGTGGTTGGCTGTGGCTGTGGGGGTCGGACTCTTGGACCTGGTGGGGGCCCGGGGCCTCGGTTTTGGGTCTCCTCTGGGTCCTGTGTCGTCCCCTTTGGCTATGGGCGGCTCTCTGCTCCTGGCGCTGACGGCTCCTTGGATGGCGTTTCTTCAGCCGGTTGCATCTGAACCCTGCCAAGTCTCTTATCGTCGTTTTATTGTTTTATCGGTGCGTGTGTGTGTGCGCGTGTGTGTGTGTGTGGGGGGGGGGGGGGGGGGGTGTTTGCTTGTGGTCTGGGGAGGGTCTGTTGGGCGGTCGGGGGGAGGGCATGGGCAGGATTGTTTTTTAGCCAAACTGTAAAGCACTTTGTGTTGCATCTGTTGTATGAAAAAGCGCTTTATAAATAAACTTTGATTGATTGATTGATTGATTGATTGATTGATTGATTGATTGATTGAGAATGTCAATAGTCACAAAGAGATCATTACAGAGGCTTCTGTTGGAACTTTTATCGCAGACAAGTGCAGAGATACCACACGTGTAATTGCAAATTCTCAACATTATTGCCACATTCCCAACATTCAGTATTTTCATAGCATCTCAACAGACTGTTGAAATGTTATCAAGAAGTCACACCATCTTATGCTCTGAATGTAGGCAAGGCAAGTGTATTTGTATAGAACAGTATACATACACAAGGCAACTCAGTGCTTAAAGCTGCACTAACTGACTTTATTTTTGTATTCGTTACGAAAATGCTATCCATATTCATGCAGTGCATTGGAATATACATCCTTTTGAAAAATAAGTAGCGCAGATTTGTGCTGGCGTGACATTATATTTTAGATCGAGTTTTGGTGAAACGAGGAAGAGAATGTGTTTCGGGTCTCAGATTGTGACCAATCACAGCGGACCACTGACCCCCGGTTTCATGAGAAAAGCCACAGGTCTCTGGTTAGCACCGACAGCTGAGTTAGCACAACAAGTGGCAGAGGCTAACCTGAATCTTCCTGTGTCTTCGTTACTGCTTACACAGCGAAACAGCCAAAAGAAAGTCTCATCCTCTCCACGCTTCCCGGTTCTGTCATTCTATGGTCACGCCATCCACGTGCAAAAGTGCCAAATTGTTCCATATTGTTCCATATTGTGAGACGTAAGCTCCGAAGCTAACAACAACACAAAACACAGGCTGAGGGGGAGGGGGTTATTGGGGGGTGAAAGCTCCGTGAGTGTGGGGAGGGCGAGCAGAGAGAGCGAGGCCATCGCTCGCATTTGAAATTTTCTCCAAATCAGTTAGTGCAGCTTTAACAAATGAAGATGAAGAAGATGTGCCAAGTCTGGGATTCAGACAGAAGACATGTTTTATTGTCGATGGTGGAGACAACACGAACAACACGAACAACAGAATGCAAGTGTATTATACAGAGCGGAGGCATGGAGACCTCCAATCAGCAGCTGCCACAGTGCCATGTAGCTTGGCCTTCAGATAGACAAAACAAGGGAAAAGTACTGGCTTCTGCACATTGATAGAATGATGAGTTTAACTTTAACAAAAGTTGCTTAAAAGTGTTATGAAATCTCAGAAACATTAACTTTACAAAAAGACATTCAAATCCTTAATAATCACATTAAAAAGAGTGAAGAGACAATCCTTCAGTTGTACACACTGCTACAGTAAGTAGAACTTTTTTAACTTGAATTTGAACATTGTCAGTAAAAGCCTGTTCTATTTACTGCATGCTTACTCTATCTTTTACATTACAATATCACTGCATATTTAGACAGGGAGCAACAGGGGATACAACTCCACAGTAAGATGTATTTCAGCATAGTGGACAATTCAACTTTATATGCAGTGTTTTTATCCCCGTGCTGTCCGTTTGGGAGGATACAGTCCATGAATTTGC